TGCTCGTTCGAGCTCGGCGTGGGCGGCATTCAATCTGCTGGTGGCTTCTGCGACAGCTGCATCACAACGTTGTTTAGCTGCCTTAACGCCAGCGAGTTCTTCTGAGAGTGTACTTCGTTCTCTCTCTAGGTTATCGCACTGAGCACGCAAGCTGGCCACAGTGCCGTCGTTGACAGCAGCGGCAGCCGCCTGCGCGGCAGTCAGTTCGGCAGCTTGTTTTCTTGATTTAGCAGCAGCTTCGGATTCTTGCTTTAATTTCTCACGCAGTTCTGTCAGTTGCATCTCTAAGGCATTAATTTTATCGTTGTACGTCTGTAAGTTGTTCATTTCCTTCGCTCGTTTGCTTTGCTCCTCGTCGAGCCGTCGTTTAGCTTCGTTATAATTGAATTCAGCTTTTCTCCTAGAATCTGCTTCAATATCAGCCTTCCTTTGTAATTCTTTCAGATCGTGACGTAATAGTGCTAATTCTTTGTCTGTGTCAGCTATTATTTTCTTATTTCTAGAATCTCTCTGAGAAAACTCTTCAAGTTGAGCACATAACGTGACTTGAGTGTCCTCCAACTTTCTTCGACCGTCCCTTTCTCTTTCGAGAAGTTTTTCCAGTTGCAATATGGCTTCAGATCCAACATTATTAATATGATTATTAGAGATGGTATCAACCACATCAGCTGCCTTCAACCCTCTCGCGCATAACTGATAATCCCCATTATAAGTAAAACCTACAAAAGGCAAATGGTTACCAACAAATGCTTTAGGCACAGGAAAAGATTCATCCAGAGCATCAGACTTTTCCATGTCATCAAAATTTCTTGTATCATCATCACTAGATAATTCAGGCACAACTGGTGGTACAGAGTCTCTTAAGTTTTCAAAACTCCACTGGTCATTGATGAAAAATGGATGCTGTTTAATTTCATTAACACTATTTTTGCCCAATCTTTTGATTCTGTCTGTTAGAAGACCTCTGATTAGAGATTTGGCATCCTTTGAAATTTCTACATCATCTGGAAACTGTAGTGAGTTTCTATGATCCATAATTTTGCCATATGTGCCAACTAAACTATCTGCATAAAAAGGAGGATCTCCTATGAGCATTTCATATAAAAATATTCCCACAGCCCACCAGTCACATTCGCGACCATACACTCCTTCACCATTTTGTGATTGTAACACTTCAGGCGAGATGTAATCAGGAGTACCCACAGCATTACTTGCCCGCACAAGACCATCAGGTCCCATTCTCATGCATGTACCAAAATCAGCTAGCTTTAGATGTCCATATTTATCAATTAACATATTATCTGGTTTTACATCACGGTGTACAAAGCCCATACCATGAATGACATCTAGTGCAAGGACAATTTCCATAGTATAGAATTTTGCCCATTTCTCAGGTATGTCATAGTTGGACATAAGGCTAACCAGATCACCCCCAGGCATGTAGTCCATCACCATGTAAAGGTACTTGTGGTCTTGAAAAGCAAAATGAAGTTTTAATATCCACTCGGAGTTAGCATGTGCCATTATGTGTCTTTCCTCCCAAAAAAATGTAGAATCAGATCTCTTGATCATTTCAACTTTACTGAGTAACTTCATGGCATACACTTGACGTGTAGACTTGTGTCTGACTAGTTGCACTTCACCAAATGCCCCACGGCCAATCACTTTTATTAAATCAAAATCTGCTGCTTTCATACGCAGGTCTACAATGTCTGAAGCAAAAGCCTCATCTATAACAATAAGAAACATTATTGATTATAAAATTTGTTTATCTTGACTGAAATAATACTGGGCTTAAAATATTAATAATTATTATGCCAACTACTATTTAGGTACTTCAAACATGAAGTTTTTATCAAAATGGCAACCTGGTAATTCAATATTTAGATTAATACAAATCTTAATCAACTATGTAAATTATTTTTTATAAGTTTTACTGTCACTATTGAGAAGTACTGGTTGGTAATAAATATAATTATTATTTTGTATAAAACTTATCTGTTTTATAGTTGAAAGATGGTTATCTAGGAATCAGTTAAATAACAAAATCAATAATATATTCAAACCATGTAATATGAAATTTTAAGTCTGTACTGAATTTACTTCTAAAAATCAAAGATTAAATATATCACAAAATTAATTATTCAAAAAGATTACTATTAAATATTTTAATGCTACTGTGTCACTATAATTTTATTATATATGCTTAAAAGTTGAAATAAGTAATTTATCATTGAATAAGGAATCTACCCAAGTACACCAAAAGCACATCACTCAAAACATATTTTCTGAATTGGATCCAAAAGTAGCTAGCTAAATCATAAGTACTTAACTACCTTTAGTTAAAAAATCTGCCTACTGTCTTTTTATACAATCAGAATTAATAATTATTGTATATTGAATTACATTTAAAATAAACATTTTCCAAATAATAACTTTCTGATGGTTGTTTATACAATACCATATAATACCAAGTGTTTGATAATTCATATCATTAATCAAAATACTGTCAGATGACCAGACACTAATGTACATTTTAGATTATTTATTTTTAGTAGCAAAAGAAGCACATAAAATTCCAGAGACAAAAACAGAGTGACCTGTTGATGTAAAATTTTGTGATTTTTTTTCTGATTAACCCTGACTAATAAATTACTATATTACTTATCTCATTATAGACTCAATCCCACACATTATTTACAATTACAACAGACTAATAACTATCTCTAACTATCATATGTATTAGTACTTGTGTTATCATTTCTTAATTGATTACAACATGTTAACTAATCAAAACAAATCCGTAACATCCATTTGCACATTAATATATTAATGAATATCTTTCTGCACTAATCGTTTTACTTCTTTTTTCTCTTTGCGGTACTGTAGGTGTGTTTACTAAATTACAATTTTACATACTAAGCAAATCCAGAGCTGAAAGAATAATTTGAAGATCACACAGAGTTGTTCAGTGTGGGGTAACAAACCAGTGTTTTCCAACAACCCAGCATCTATATCAATCATTTAGTTAAATCATATAAGTAAACATTTTTTAACCAGGACTAACACTGTAAATAACTTAGTTAAAAATAAATTGAATTTTCAATTATATATGCATATTTGAAGGGGATTTTAACAAGGATGACTCCCTACAGTTTCAGATTAAAGTAAGGAAAAATGTGTGAGTGACTAGGTTGTGCATACCACCTATTTACTCATCATATGGTATATATACAAGGCATAACCTGTCTTTAAAATTATAATTATTTTACAAATTTCTATACATTTATGTGCAACAGGATTTTCATAATAGAATAAGTATATGAAACTAAAAGAGTAAATATTTGATCCAATCTAACAATGTAGTTTGTTATTAGCATGAAAAGCATCAAGAACTTGTATTTCAATAATAGCATCTAGTTGAATTGTTTCTTTTGTATGTCATCATTTTAATATCTATCATGTACCTACATACCAATAAATACTAAATTCTTATTAGAAGACTACAAGTTAAATAAGAATAGTAAAGTGTAATGACACCTTTGTCAAACTCCTGATGTTCAAAATTGGTATAGAGTACTTACATCTGCTGGTGTATGCCTCGACATTCTTCATGCGACGGATAGCCGGGTGGTCACAGTCGGAAACGAGAGCAGTCACGGTGTCTAGCAAGCAGTCCACGTTGCCAGGGGAACGAGGGTCACAAAGCCGCTCCTCCAGGGCACGCAGCCGCCGCAGACGTTCTTCGTCCTTCACCGATTCCATGCTGGATCCTATTTCTGACGTCCTCTGCCACTAAGGCTAAACGCCACCGCACATTCTCCCGATGACTACTCCGAGTAAGAACACCACTCTCATCACGACACATCAACAACTGTACACTGATTTGTTATTCTTGTACTCTACTTCTGTCGATAACCTACCATTCAAAGGATAACTTAAGTTTCATTATCGAAAAATTCAGTTGCTACAGCTCAGAATGACAGCAGATAAAGGTGGTGGTTCTCACAACAAAGCATATGCACGTTTGCAAACACAACAGGATGATTATTTACATTTATAAATGTCCACAAACTTTTAACAAAATAAGAACACTAAATTAATATGACGATTGGCACAAATATTGAAAAACTAAGAAAAATTACGAATTATTCGACCGCTTGATTGATGAACGATGGATGATCGAACAATAAAGTGAAGTTAGACACATATTTTTAGGTATCGTTCACAACAACGTTTCGTTTTTGAACAAAAGAAAAGCTGTGAACACACTCGTTTTTCAACCGTAATCGAACCAAAACTTCTAAATATCTTTTTTATATCTAAAAGAAGCTACTCTTTATGTGTTGTGGCTACAAGTTTACACTGTTTATATTATTATATCTTTGCTGTAAGCAATCGTAATTTATGAAGTAAATTATTTCGTTTGTTCTAGGTACGTCTTGAAACACCTATCATATAGATTTGAAAATTCTTTAATTTTGGTAGAAAAATTTATAATTATCTCGTTATAGTTACAATACTAACAGTCCAAAGAGTATGTAACCACTACGTATATAGCAATCCTTATTTCCTGAACCATTAAGAATATTGTTTTATTTTTCATTATGTTAGTGAAAAGAATAATTAGAGCTTTTGAGTAATCTAAAATCTTTTTTGTCGCTTTTACTATTTATAAATCATAATAATTAATTTCTGATTGAAACTGCTTGTCAGCAAGAAGGAACAGATTGTCCCAAAATTAGGTTTTAGTAACATCTTTTTAAACGTTGTTACTGTCTGAAAAGGTAACAATTTCATAGACAAAACTAGACGATGATTTTGCAAAGGATAATCAGTCATTCGTGTTCTATTTCATTCATTCAACATTTTGTTCATCGAATCGAATGGAACATGGCGGTGCTAGGCAGGATGTGCATAAGTTTTTGATTTTTGCATTTATAACGAGTTGCTTATATCAGTTAGCTTTCTAAGTAATTTCTGACTTATTTCGTGTGTTATAATATTTGTTATAGTGTAAAAGCTTATTCACCTCAGGAATTTCCTGTCTGGACTTACTTAGTTCTGCAATGAAAATTATTATTCGTTGGTAGTGTAAAAATAATTGTGACAAATATATCGCTTTGCTTCAGGTAAACTGTTGTTTTATATATTTCTTATTATTTCGTAGTAAATATAGTTTATCCTAAGTTCCCGCAGTCCAAAGTTTCATCCCACAATTAGTCAATAAAAAGTTACGAGTCTGCCCCATTTTGGTTCAAGTTCATTCTCGTGTTATTTTGTTCATTATTTAATTTTATATTTTGGTATGGGATCGAATCGAAATTGATCTCCTTGAAGTCGTGTGAGATAATCACATGCATTAATGAACAATTACAATTAATTTTCATGATCATTGCTTTTCTTTGTGGTCCATAATCACGTGTGGATCAGGTCGTTATGGGGTCAATAACTGCTGACTACGGATTATTTTAGGTTTATTCGCATAACGGAGAATGTAAATAATTACTGATTCTGTAATTTTGTGGAGGAGATATCTCTAAGATATGCTATGATGACAATTACAAGCTCTGAGTGATAATCTGCAGAAAATTCATTAGTACGCATTTTGAGATGTTAGGGGATGATGGTCAGTTTATAAAATTTATTATATATGATGGTGATCATATAAGTGCAAGCTAGGTGCAGGGCGCAGGATGTAGAGGGGGCTAGGAACGTGGGGACGGGGGTAGTGCGGTGCGGGGGCCGGGGGCCCGTCCGCCAGTCAGCTGTGCAAAGTGTCATGTTGTCGCGTCGCACCGTACTGACCCGTGGGAAGTGGCCTAAATTGTGTCCCCTCCATTGAATCTTGAAATTTGATTCTGTTATTGTTGCAAGCTCTCTTTATATAAAGCTAATCTGTCATATTTACTTGATTTAGCATATAAAATACGTAGTATTAAAGTCAAGTGGATGCAGATATTTTTATTCCTTTGTGATAAACAAGTTTTTGGTGAGTCTTATGTTTTAACTTCAACCCTGAAAGATATCTAGGTGCTAACAGAATATGTAAAATGATCTTGATTATTTATGCCTATTCTAGAAATATTTTTAAAGTCATTTTGGAAAATGAAACTAATGAACTTTTATTTATAATTTTTTTTTAAATTATATGATCTTATAATGCATGTAATGCAAAATTGCATAATTTCGGCTAGGCTTAGTGTGCTTTGTGCAAGTGTTTTCATTGTTTCATGTATGTTTGCCATTTGCCATTGTTGTGCAATCAACAATTTTCAATAAAGTCCTCTTTATGGTTTACCGCTGAATGCTGACGATAACAGCTATAATCACACTTTTCTTGGTCTCTATTTACAAATTTAATCAGTATTTCATTACAATTGTTGATTCATATCCTGCAATAAAAAATATTATTTAATGAATGAATACACTACGATACCATATTTCATTGTTGCTGTTTTGATTTGAAAAATATAGTTTTCAACGTGGCAATTGGGTAAAATAATAAAAAAATCTTGAAATTGTTACATTGTTACAAGAGCTATAATACAATGCAAATAATTTAACTCTAGTGTGCTATGTTGTTTGAGGATCAAATATCTTTTTAAATATTTCTGCTGAGACTACAGTAGTGCAGGAATGACATCCATGAACTATCTACATAATATATCTAAGCTTAGATGATTAATTAGGATTTGGTTTCATTGAGGTTCTGTGCTATTGATAGCTACCAATAATATACAGATGGGTTTACAAGTAGGACAAGAAGTGGACTATATGTAAAACAACAATGAATGTTAAATACCAATATTAGTTTATAATATTATTTAGTTTGTTAAAGATACTTCATATTCTTCTTCTTGATATCTTAATTTCATACCATTATAATCTATTTCAGTGTGCCGTGTTGGTCATGGCTACGCTCATTCAAGAGAATGGTTTAAAGGAACTAAGCAAAGGCACTCACGGAGTTGTGCCTAACCGTGGTATATCTTCACATAGTGTTACAAATCACATGGTGCCTGACCATGAATATTGCGAAGCTGGCGCGACTAGCACGTCACAACAGATGCAGTGCACTGATACAAATGAGGCGATGGCGCCACCCCCCGCCGCTGAAGAAGAGGAGGATACCCCAGAAATAGATATTATGATAAACAATGTTGTGTGCAGTTTTAGTGTTAAGTGCCACCTGAACCTTAGACAGATAGCATTAAACGGTGTTAACGTTGAATTTCGCCGCGAGAACGGCATGGTAACTATGAAGTTACGGCGTCCATACACTACTGCGTCTATCTGGTCGTCCGGTCGCGTGACGTGCACTGGTGCAACCAGCGAGGACCAGGCGAAGGTTGCCGCACGACGGTACGCACGCGCCCTTCAGAAGCTTGGCTTCCAAGTGCGTTTCCGCAATTTCCGTGTAGTCAATGTATTAGGCACCTGTCGGATGCCCTTTGGTATAAGGATCATATCTTTCTCGAAAAAATACAAGGAAGCAGAGTAAGTATGCTTGTGTTACTTTTACAATAATTTACATTTTAATGCTGTATATCATTCTTTTAGTTTCAAATATAGAAATCTACACATTGTTTACACTTCTAAAGCATTGATCAAATAAGTGTTTGCCTAAGACTTTTTCATAAGCATTAGACAATAGCATTTTTCTTTAGTTTTTCAACAAACATACACATAGTCATAATAATATAAGGTACAAATGTATTCAGCAGTGAGCTAATTACTTATGGGATGATTAATTTTAAATCTGTGTGATTTGATTTTTTCATCATCATCATCATCATCATCAGCCTATAAGTGCCCACTGCTGGACAAAGGCCTCTTCTCATACGGAGAAGGTTAGAGCATTAATCACCACGCTTGCTCAATGCGGGTTGGCGATTTCAAACTTATTATTAGAAATTATAAGTCCAGGTTTCCTCACGATGTTTACCTTCACCGTATGTCAGTGGTGTCTAAATAATCATAGAAAGTACATATAACTCGGAAAAAGTCACATTGGTACTTGCCAGGTTTCGAACCCGCACCCTCATGCATGAGAAGCGGGCGCGTTAACCTCCGGGCCACCACGACATGATTTTTTCATCTGGAATTATCTCCAAAAATACTAATCAAACAATGCTAATTACAAGGAATCACACAGGTTCACAATATAATTGCACTGAAAAGTTGAAATAATTAGTTTTTTACTTAAATATTATGGAGTTCTGCACAAAGAGAAGTGGAAAGACCCTTTGTAGCATTGCCTTTAAAAATAAAATATTTTTGTTATATAATTTAAAAATTTATAGTTTTTTCTTTAGTAAGGTTTATTATTTGTTGTATTTTTATGTATGCTCATAACAAAAAAAAAAAAAATAATATTTTTGCATTATCTATATATTTGTTGTGTTACATGAATTGCTTGAAATTTTTTTCCCTTGTTTTTCAGTTATGAACCTGAGCTCCATCCTGGAGTCACATACAAGTTATACAATCCTAAAGCTACTCTCAAGATATTCTCCACTGGTGGTGTGACTATTACAGGTATATATATATGTTTTATGTAACAAATTATAGGTACATATATTTCTGTAAAGAGGAAATAACAAAAATATTAATTTGATAAGTAGCCTCATAAAGTCACCATTTTAGGTCATTCATTTAGAGTTTGGTTTATTGAAGTGAAAACAAAAAGATATTAATATTGCTAACAAAAATAACATAATTATGTTTTTATACAGTATACCATATTTATTATTTATTTAGACATGTCATTTGTTATCGTCAGACACGTCGAGTTCACTTTTTTAAAATAATAAGATCATATAACTCCCAGACTAGAGTTGTGAACAGTCTATGGCAATTGGCTCATTTCTAAATAGGACTCTTATTTTAGTAAAGTCAAAGTCACATCATTTATATTTCAATAGGACCTTTGAATGTCAACTGAAAAGAGGGTGTTTAATTTATAATATAAATAGAAGTCATGCTAAGCGGAAATTACGAGAAAATTAATCGATTTCGCCGTTGTTGTTTATTATTGTCATAAGAAGGTTGTTAATGAAAAAGAATATGGTAGGTCAGGACACATGGGTAAATGGAGGAACACCGGGGTGGTTTTTAGTCAGTAAGAGTCTGACAGTACCCTTCGCCCTTCTCCGAGGGCGTTAGTAACAAACTAATCCTGTATGTGTTACTCCATGACGTAAAATGAGAGAAAAGTTCGTTTTTACTGTGTATTAACGTAGCCCACGAAAAAAAAAACTTCTTATAACAAGTCTAATGCATTCTCTTAACTGCACTCTGAGTCGTTGTAACGATGGACACTTCCACTGGAATGACAATAAACACCACACTCCGTGTGCGAATGTTCAAAGTTAAACTCAAGTTATATAAAATTTCTCAATCGCTGGTTTTCTGATAGCTCGATATTGATAACATTTAATAGGATTAGGGCCATATGGGAACTATTATTGTTATAAACTTTAACGATAACAAGAGTTACAATTATAAACTGGCAAAATTTTATTCATCAGCATTCCAGGTCTTGTTTTAGATGGGAACGCCGATCTATTAAATTAATTTTGATAGATATAAAGTAAATATTTATTTTCTGCAGCTCGGAGCGTGAGTGATGTTCAGTCAGCCGTGGAACGCATCTTCCCGTTGGTGTACGAGTTCCGCAAGCCTCTAACTCCGGCAGACGAAGAGCTGCTGCGGCAGAAGCGTGCAGCCCGCTCAGGCGTGCCAGCTCCTGCGCCCCCGCCCGATGACGACCCCATGCACTTGGTGACACTGTCGGACGACGATAATGACGCCTGGGAATGACGCGCAGGGGCCGCGCGCGCCTCCGCTGCCCACTGAAGCTCCCGACGCGAAGCCCCGTGCGGGAACAAAACGAACTTTTATATTGGCATCGAAGCAATAACTGTCGGTTGTTAGTGCGATCGCGTGTGACTCGTCGGCGAGCTGTTCGGTTCATGCCAAAGATATTTATTAGGGGAGGTGCTTCGCGCATGGTCCGGTCTGCGCGCGGCCACGACCTCTCGGCTGAACGTTCCGCGAAGCACCCACGCTTCTTTACCCTTTGTATGTACGATTGTATCGTTTTTGTGATGACCTGTGACCTCTTTAGTATGCGTAGATGAAGTCGACTCGTTTACGTTGAAACCAAAATTGTCATAAAATTACAAAAAAATGTTCAAAATAAATCTCGATAACGATACTCAGTCTCGTTTTTTCATTTGCCGTTATGATTGTAGAATTTGTAGTGATAATAGTGTTCAATAAGATTTGTTCTAAGAAAGAGATGACTGAAAGATAGACGTTAGTGATTGTAAATATGGAAGCTTCGACATTATACGTTTCAATAAAAACATTTTGTGTTTTATTTACAAATTTAATAAATAGTTTAAGAATCCGACTCGTGAGTGTCGTACTCGTCACTCGTGAACCTTGTCTGTGAGGGACGCGGTGGTCTGCTGAGCCTCAGTTGTGTGCTTTCTGTTTTATAATTTCCAAATACTTTGGGTGTCTGGATGTACGCACTCATGTCGACTACAGCAAGTCTCGGAGTTTTTACGGCAGTTCCTGCAAAGTGAAAACTTTTATAGTTTTGCAACTAAGTCAATGTAATAGATAGGTATGCACAATACAAATCTAGAAAATCATAGCACGGTAAAACGGGGTGAATAGACACAGAAGAGAAGTAAGAAAATTCGCCAATATCTATTCATTCACCCTGTTTTACGGTATATACCATAGTACTAAAACAAAAGAACAATGATTTTTTTTACTTCTAATTGTTTTTTTACTGACGAACGCTATACAAAATTTGATGAATTTATTAGTCATGAGAGAAATATCGTGAAAAACGTCAACAAAAATGTGACAAAAGTTACAAAAAAAAGAAAAATATTAGGTATTCCTAAGTATTTTGTTCAATCAAAATCAATATTAGTGTTTACTTATAACTTAAAAAAGTGAGTTAGGTAATAAAAGTTAACCACTTTCTGTTTTCCTTTTGTAGGTACGTGAATACCTTCACTTATTTCAGTGGTAGAGAAACACAGTCGAAAAAATAAAACTTTCATGTCACAAACTTTATCGTTTTTGTTATGCGTAATTCGTTGTTCCTGCGATCTACTTTTCAAAGTAGGTAGGTACCTAAAATTGGGGACCTAGGAAATTAGTGACTTCATCGCGTTTTATGCAAGCCGTTCAGTAAATAACGCAAAAGCAAATTACAGAATTATGTAAAAACTAGAATAGTAGGGACTAGGGTATTTCGACCAGTTATCCAGCTATTTACCAGTTATTTGAGTTGCTACTAAGTGGCTGTAAAATGAAAAAAGAAATATTAATGTTATGGTGACGATGACCTACCTGTTATTACAGGTAGTATGTGATCGATGTCTAGTACAGTTCTTGGACGAGACTTCAGTATAGGACGACGTGAAAGTCTTGGTGGTAAAGCTTGCAGGGCGGGCGGAGATACTTTTGGCAGCGATGGTGACAATACTCGCCCTGCTAAAACTCGTCGTTCAGGTGATGAACTAGGTGACCTGAGATTAATTGAAAACAATCAGAGATATAATATCTAAATAATATAAGTATGTAGGTAGGCACATACGCATGTAGCCATACAAGGTGTTTGTCCCAAAAACATCAAAAAGCTAAGTTTCGCAAAACGTAACTTTACTTTTTTGGCTTCTATTTACAACTTTTTGTACGTATTCCCTTCATAAACTTTTGTTCTGATGTAAATACTTATACTTAATTGTGGAAAATTCCATACACATGTCCTTGAGGTACATAACCTACCTAGGAACTTGAGAAGTAGCGCGTGTAAATAGATAGATACCTAGTGTTATATCGAAAGGATATTAAGGTACTATAGATAGGGTATCTATAGTAGTAGTAGTAGGTACTTTATCATTAATTTTCTACATGATTAGGTATGTCACTTTCCTTTCCTTGTCTTCATAGAGCCACCTTTTTCATTTCTTAGGTATTAGGTACCTAAATCCTCGCCATCTAAGCAAGCAAGTATTTATTATTGCATTACATCGATTTGATCGATTAAATATTCATTCTAACACGCTTGTTTGCAAAACTCATACGACACTGTCAGCCTACATACCTAGCTAGGTACCTACATATTATATCGATGTGTAGATCTTGTAGAAGGTTACAGTAGTTAGGTAGGTAGGTACATATTTCTCTGACCTGTCGCGTTCAATAACAGGTCGTCTCCGCCGCCGTCTGCCCCTTTGATCTTTCTTCTTACTCCGACCTATTCGCGGGGGAATGACCCCAATATGTCGATAGTAGTCGCAAAGAGATTTTGCTAAAGATTTGCCTATTTTAGTATCTGATTATCAAGTTAAGAAATTAACTGAGTACCTATTGACTTGAGAAAAGATTTCTAAATATCACGTAAGACATTAAAACCTTTTCTTTGATAACGATAAATAAGTAAAATATAAAAGTGGTAGCAAACATAACTTTTTTACTGGTCTCCTAGATAAGTACTTAGATATCTATGCTATGACTGTGAGCAACAACTTCAGCGGGTTTGACTTTGTATGCAACCTTTTTAGAGTGGGTAGTTACAATATACTTACTTAAGTAGGTACCTAATACCACTAACTTATGTAAAGGATACATGCATCTTCAGTATAATGTATATAAGGCCCCCTAGGAGATAATCTTCGACCTCCTAGAGATACTAATAATGTGTAAGCGTCAATGGATCCCGTGGGCAGGGCTCGGCGAGCTGTGCCAGCCAGTAGAGAATCGGAATTATAGAAGCACGCCTCAGGCCGCCATGCTTCTATCCGTGCGCCTAGAAACTTAGGAAGAACCGCCTGACGTTCAAATCTAGAAAGTGAACAAAACAATTAAGAAACGTTAATTAATAAGCACCTACATACTTCTATATATAAGTAGATGGGTAAATCGTGTATATTACATTGTACAGGTAAACTTGTAACTAAATATCGATAGATACCAACGTTACAAAATGTGGGTAAGGACCTACCTACTCGTTATAGTAATATAGAAAACTCAAGAACAAGCAAACGTAGGTGCGTTAATTAGAACAGTTATTATAATATGTGTTACTCCTCTAACAGAATAGACACGAAGTTACATTGATCTCAGCCATTGCTAGTGATGTATGTCTTAGTAGTATGTAGGTATATCTACATAAACATGCTCATTGCTCACCGATACACGTCATCGTAAGAGTTGCCTCGAACAAACACTCCCTCGTGACTAATGTCTGCATGAATGTCAATTATAAAATCCAACTGCACATTCTGAAAGTCACAAAAACTTCATTAATCTATACAAAGACATAATAAGTGGTCACTGCTGAGCAAAGGATCTCTTTTACATACACGAAGAAGGTACTTATGATCATTAATGACCACGATCGAGGCGGATTGGCGATTTCAAACTTAAAGGTAATTCGAAAACTCCAGTTATCCTCAAGATATTTACGGTCACGGTCAAAGTACCTAAGTGCAAGTATTCGAAGAAGTCTCTGTGGTGATCTCTGTGATGTGATGGGTAGGTACCTATGTTTGTCAGCTTGTGAAACTGCACCTTTATGCATGAGATATGTATGCACATAACGTATTTAGGTATAAAGTACTCAGGATCAGATAAATTTCCTGAAATAGACAAAACCGCGCCTGCAACAATATGTTTTGACGGATATATGATGGACACTCGCAACACCAAAGGAGTTAAGAATGCGTTGCTGGCCTTTTGGGTATAAGAGTTTTAAATATTTAAGGATTAGGAAGGAACAGGGAGAGGGGGAGGGATTGGGCCTCCGGTAACCTCACGGCGAAATAACGCTGTGGTTATGTCACGCCGGTTTTCTGTGTGTCCGTGGTATCACTCCAGTGGAGCCGACCCATTTGTGCCTAAGCTTGGTACTCCCACACTTAAACACTTAGTTTAGAAAAGCGTACCTAGTAGAACTTTCAGTCGTTGTTTAGGTAGGTAATTGAGAATGAATGCATTGCGAATCTAAGTACCTATCTATCATCAAACATTAGGTAATCCGTCCATCCATTTGCAGACAGCCTTAGTTTCTCCATTGAAAAGTTTGGACCCAGCGATAGTTGTGTGTTGTTTTGCTCTGTACCAAACAAAATGGTTGATCGGACCAATTGCTGACAGACTCGTCATTCTCTTCAAATGGTGGTTTCTACTGTCTCAGTTGAAAATTAAGTATACCTCATACATATATTCTTGTAGTAGGTACTTAAAATATTAAATATAATAAATCTGTAACCATGACAAGGGTAGGGGCCGCAAGTTCATGGAGAAAATATACATAGATGTTAATAATATTAAAAAAAAACAGCGGCAGCACCCAGAACAGTCGTGCTGAGCGAGCTGAGAGTGATAGATATTGTGGGTTAACAGTTTCGTTAGGCAAACCTTTTTATAATCTTAAATATTCCTACCTTTTCGGATGCAAGTTTCTTAAGAAGATCGTTAACTGCGACTAGAGCAGGGTGCGCATAACTAGTGGCTCTGTTCCAACACCGGTTGAGGTCACCGCCCAGCAGATCTGATCTCTGGTTGCCAAGAAACACTCCGTCTGGATTCAGCATTGGTATTACCTGGTAATGACAAAAAATTAAATACAAATTAAGTATATGTTGCCTAGGAAACTTAGATTCTTGCTCGTTACTGTTCATTCCTGAAAATTTCGTATATTTGGAACTGGTAGTGATATGGCTTTCCAATTTATTATATAAAGAGTAGCATGATACTCACAGTGAAGATTTTTGGAAAAAGGTTATTGATTTATTTTGTAATATTAGATGTGTTCTATTACTAACTACGTATGTAGTGTTTAGTGGTTGGTGTGATGCTTAGCTACAGAAGTTCTGCAAATGTCGATTCATAGTATGCTTTAAAATTCATATTGCGGAAAAATAATCGTAATATGGTTTGGTTACCTCTAAAATAATGTTGTTCCTCAAAGCCACCGCCTTTTCCGACGATCCCAACAGGTAGTCCAAAAAGCCTTTGTAACACAATATTTTATAAGTTAGCTACGTAAGCAAGAGAGTTGATTCATATCAAAAAAAGTCATAAATTGATGATAAAACTTCCATATCCTCACAGAAAACCGGCGTGAAACAACCACTGCGTTGTGTTTCACCGTGTGAAAGAGGTTACCAGAGGCCCGTCCTTCCCCTCCCACAATCCCTCCCAAATCCCTAATCCCCAAAACATCGG